CCTGCTCAGGGATGTCGTGGCTCTCCAGATTTGGTGTGAATATTTAGCTCAGGTGAAGCTGATAAAGCTGAGTTGTCATTGGTTTGTGTAAAGCCTTGCTTGGGTTTGGGTTGGGAAGTGGGAATCTGAGGAAGTTTGCAACATACCATGGACAGGGAATGTAAAGGGCTGGTTCTGAGCATCCAACTCCTTGTTTCCACCAGCTCTAAAATTAAATCTCCTCTTGCAAGTGCTTAGTAAACTGCTATTAAGGCAACTGTGCAAAAAAATGGGTCAGAATATCAGTTACCACTCGAGTAAAACATCCACTGACTTCCAGAGGGTTTAACCTACAGAAATACTGCTGGATGAGGTCCAGGGAGAGTTCCTTGCTTCTAAGGATAGAATTTGGCCCCACAACCCCCTCAACAGTCTGAAGGGAACCACGTTTAAAACTGTGTTAAACTGCAGAGCAGGAACAGCTCCCGTTAATTGAGTTTTAACAGAGCTTACGCTCAGTGTGAGCCAGCCTGAAAGTTATTAAAATATATTATTATATATAAAAATAGTAAAAGAAAGCATTTTGATCCATTTTTTTTCACTTAAATGATATAGATATACAGCATGTTTGTACATGATAGTTGTGTTTCTGTTTTATTATATTACATGTTGCAGACATACGTGCATAGGCAATACATAAGAGTGTTTAAAAGTGCTCCCCTAGCCTGCATTTATGGGGAACAGGAAAGGGAACACAAGAACCTCAGGGAGAGCACAAGATAACACCTGAGTTTGACTGGTTTCATGGTTTGACTGGTGTTTCAGACTGGTTTGAGTTGGAGGGACCTTAAGGACCATCCATTCCAACCCCCTGCCATGAGCAGTGACACCTTCCACTAGACCAGGTTGCTCCAAGCCCCATCCAGCCTGGCCTTGGACACTTCCAGAGATGGGAAGTGCCTCATAACAAGAGCAAAATGTTTCAATACCACTTGTTAATTCAGTCTAGTGTACGGTAGCAGGTTAGTTGACAGGTTTAATATGGTTTTAATGACCTGCTTAATAACAAAAAGAAGGCTCAAAATTGCTAAAAATCAGCTCTCTTGCTTGTATTCACTGTTTACACTGCTGTCAGTTAAAGTTCTTAAATTTGAATATGAGTCTGTTCTTCCAAGGCCCAGGAGCCAAACTGAGGTTTCTAGATTAGGTGGAAGCTGCTGCTGCAGTGGGAGCTGCCGTTTTGTCAGCAGACTGCTGTATTTTTGAACTGTTCTACTTGATTTATTTTTTTTTTAACTAATAGTAATAACAGTGAAAACCAGTAAGTAAAAAAACAAACAGAAAAGTTGTCTGTGCAGTACCCCAGGCAGGCTGTGAAAAAGCTGGTGAGAAGGGGGGAGTGTTTATAACTGTCTTTGCCTTTGCAAAACTCTTGGGGAAAAACAAACAAATAAAAACAGGGGAAAAAACAAACAAAAAACCAACACAACAAACAAAAACTAACATTCCCAGCAATCAGCATTGAGGGGAAGGAAAAAACTGGTCTGTCTTTAATTCTTCTTGATCAAAGGGATTTAAAAGGATGGAAAATCAGGCTGTGTGTCTTTTGAACCTTTCTTGCCCCAAGAACTGTGTGAGGAGGTGCAGAGGGGCAGGAAGGGACTGACACTGGTCCCACTGCTCTTCCCCACATCCATCCTTCATCCCTGGGGCTGAGCCCCTCACTAACACTTAACATAAATGCTTGTTAGATATTGGATATAAGCACATTATCTTGTGGAAGGTGTCCCTGCCCGTGGCAGGGGTTAGGAGCTGGGTGGTCTTTAAGGTCCCTTCCAACCCAAATCAGTCTGTAATTCTGTGTTTATTAGTTAGAAGTGTATGATTTTAGTTCTTTGGACTAATTACCACCTTTAATTAAACTGCCAAAAGTTACAGTAAAGCTAGTGTTCAAGTAAACTTGATTTTTACTCTGTCATCCCTGTGGATTTAACATGTTTATATGGAGAATTAAGGTGTGAGGGATCTCTGAGCACCTGGGCACTATCAGCAGGTTCATGATAAGTCCTTCTTTTGGGGCTTATAACTGGTCTGTAAATACTCTTCCCTGTGAGGGTGGAGAGGCCCTGGCACAGGTTGCCCAGAGAAGCTGTGGCTGCCCCATCCCTGGGAGTGTCCAAGGCCAGGTTGGACGGGGCTTGGAGCAACCAGGGCTAGTGGAAGGTGTCCCTGCTGATGGCAGGGGGTTGGAACTGGATGGGCTTTAAGGCCATTTACAACCCAAACCATTCTGTGCTTCAGTAAAACCCTCCCAACTACTTTTGGAGGCCATGGACACACAGTTGGAGGTGGGAACAGGCTCTCAGTGCTGAGGAGACCTGGAAATCCAACACAGTCACAGGTCTCTCTCTTCCCCATCCTTCAGGCCAGCGGGAATTGGAGGAGTGTGCATTTTCATGTCAAATCTCACAAATTATTGATCACTGTGATGGTAAATAGCATCTAACAACTCTGGTTGCTCTCTCATGGCTGTAACACGTGTTCCTTGGTAAGGCTTGCTCACCTGGTCACCTGGAGGGGATATTTTTGGACTGCCATGTGCAGAGGAAGGAGAAAACCCTCTGATACTCACATTCCTATGATGTGGTTCAGTCCAGCCATGAATTTGCTGGCATCTGTCTCCAGGACAGTGGGGGCATCCTGGGCTCGTGGATGTACCAAGTGTTCTCATGTAATGAGAGAATCTGTGTGTGTTAATTTTTAAGTGCAGATTTTACAGCACTTTATAACGATATTTAACAGCATAAAACGTTGGCACATGGTGAAAACTGGTGAAAGTTCAGCCATCTCATTTGGGCAGGTTGTGCTCACAGGCTCTCACACTTGCAGACAGTTTAATAACAGTATTTGGCACTGTCTCTTCGAGCTGCTTAAACTAATTAATGCATTTGCTCCCCGCAGGATGAAATGGGGTTTTCAGATACATTTCCGAAATGATGTGCATGATTGCTAAATATTTCATTCTTTTGAACTCTAAACTTCACCAGTGTTTTATGGGGGAGCAGAGGTGGGATAAATTCTCCCATGAAAAATGTACAGTGGCTCTGGCAAGAGGAAAATCTGTGCCCCTGCGTGTCAGAGGAGGATAATCTCTGTCGCTCTGTCAGTGTGTTAGAAGGTACTCTGGAATTTGGGCACCACTTGGCACGTTGGTGCTGCTGCTGGGGGGGCTCTGTAGCTGCCCCATCCTCCCGCACTCTGCTCCACTTCTCCTGATTCCAACAGATTCCAGAAAGTTTCAGGCCCATCACATTCCAACCTGCCAAAAATGAGGGCAAAAGGGGGGATTTTTTGGACTCGGTGCGTCATTTAAAACATGACATCAGGCAGTAACTCCCCGAGACCCCTGAGCAGGGTTAACGCTCATCTCACTGACTGAAAAAGGTTAAAAAAAATAAGAAGGACCATTTGATTTGAAAGAAACCTTTCTGAAGGAATCACAGTAAACAAAATCTGTTTGCCTAAGGAAACCCTCGTAGCAATCAGCCAGTAACACAACTGCTTGTGCTAATGAACCCAAAGCTGTTAATGTGGTTTCTTCAGTTAAATTGATTCATGAATTTTGAAGAGAACATTATCTAATGAATTTTCTTTGAATAGAAAGCAATTAAAAGGACAAATCAGTCTGATTAACCCCAAAGTCACCCTACTGCCACAAATGGTGTACAGTTTGAAATTATATCATAAAAAACTAGAGCAGATTTGCTATCTCTTTGCCCTCTACTAATCCATGTAAATTAATGAACAACAAAGTTAATTTCTTTGATGACCCTTTTCTCATATCACCTGGATTATGCTGATGTTTAATTTGCTTAATGTTATAATAAAGACTAAACAGATTTTTTCAATGAAGTGATTATCATTCCCTTCAGTTAAGAAGTGATTTTTATTATTTAACACACACATAACACGGTATGGGTTTCCTTTAAGAACAAAGTCACATTTCTCTACCTTCCTATGTAACGTCATCAATGTGTTTTTTGACAACTAAAAAAAGAAAATGTCTTTAATGAGTTTATTTCTTTGCCAGAGCAGGAGGCTCAGACTCTCAGCTGGGGGAAAAGGTCTCCTCACCTTTTTTTCCTCTTTTTTCCTTCTTTTCTAGTGACCAGCTCTCTCCTTTCATAAGTTACTCATTAGTTAGGTCTTCAAAGCTTTTCCAAGAACAAGAGGTGTTCAACCCAACTAAAATCCAAACATGGCTATCCCTTTCCCTTCTATAAAATAATCCTGGCTTGGGTAAAACCCTGAGATGCCGAAGAAAGCAGCTCCTAATGCATTTGCTTATTCATTATTCCAGCAATTGGAACACTTAGAAGCAATTTGCTGGTGAATTAAAATTAAAATAATGGCAGATACATTATATATTTTTTTTACCCTGTATCATTAAGGATGTGCTGTAGATTCAAGGTCACAGCTAGTCCTTACATTTGGCAATGTCTGCAGTGCTGAGCTGTAGCTTGGGGGTCTGGACTATAAAATGCAGTCAGCCAGGATAATACAGAGTCCACTGGCTCTAGGGCGTCTTCCTGGGCGACTCCAGTCCCAGCTGAAGTTTGAAATTAGCTGGAGATGCGAGGCTTTTGTTGAATAGGTAGAGCCAGCTATTTCTTCTCTTTTAATTTGACTCTATGCTAATTTATACTCTGCCAATTTAATGGGAAAAACCACATTGTATGAGTTAACAGGATAATTGTACTTGAAGCAAATTAAAAATATAGGAAAATCAAAGCCTTAAATCCTTTTTTTATAGTGATCGGTTACTCTGAGCGCTCTCTCTAATAATCATGTATTTAAATGTAGTCATATAGGACACAATAACAGGACAGAAATTTGGGGCTGTTTAAATTTAAATTAGAAAACTGCTATTGAGACTCACATTTCATTGGGGTTTTCAGCTGTTTCACCCTAATTTTTCCAGCCGTGCAATCAAACAGCTCCTGCTCCCTTGTTCTTTGCAGATTCCTTCACCAGACAAGTGCTGTGGACCCTGTTGAATGATGTGAAGTTTGGAGAGGCTGTTTCCTACAAAGAGTTGGCAGATCTGGCCGGGAACAGCCGAGCAGCCAGAGCGGTGGGGGCAGCCATGAGGAGGAACCCGGTGAGTTCAAATCAACTTCCAGCTAAAGTTGTTGGAATATGGTGGATTTAGAGCACTAAGTGTCATTAGATTAAATTTATCTGCTATGAAAACTGGTCTACGATGAGTAATAAGGTCAGTAAGTGTTTTTAATCAGCGATAATGCACAACCCAGTTTAGTGTGATTTATCCCCCACCATTTATGGTGTTAGGTTGGAAAGAGAAACACTTTTTTCATTCACCAGCCTCTACACAGGTTGTTGTTCTCAAACTTTCTTATATATTTTTAGGTCAGGGAAGTCTTTTATCCCCCACATGGACCTCATTTGGCAGGTTATGAGCAGTTTTGGTTGTGTTAACAGCAGTCTGCTCTGGCATGAGCATGGTTCTGAAAACAAGACCAAGTTGGATGGGGCTTGGAGCAACCTGATCTAGTGGAGGGTGTCCCTGCCCACGTCAGGGAGTGGAATGAGATGATCTTTAAGGTTCCTTCCAACCCAAATCTGGGATTCCATAGGTGATTTGCCTGAATTTAAACCAGCTGGAGGAAGTAGCACTCTAAGTCAGGCCTGTGGATTTTGGAAGAACATTTTGTTAAAACCCTTGGTTTCTGTCTGCTTCCCAGTTATTGTCTTTCCCTTTTATTTTTCTGGGATTAGCTTTTCAGGTGTATTTGTGCACCTCAGTCACACTGGTCAGTGTCAGTGAAGTTGATGTGTTGTGTCAGTGTCTTTGAGTGTGTCTGGGTTCACATTAGCCCCATCCTGAACTGGAAGGTCTGGGGGCTCAGATGGATGTATCTGAGTTCACAAGGAACAATTCAATTATCTAAACCCACAGCAGTTCATAGAATCACAGAATCCCAGAACAGTCTGGTTTGGAACAGACCTGAAAGCCCATCTCGTTCCAACCCCTGCCATGGTCAGGGACACCTTCCACTGGAAGTGGTTTAATGAGTTATTTATCATGCTTATCATTTAGTCCTTTAATCACAGGAAGCATCTCAAGGTACTGATGTATTAAGGTTTGCTATTTTGCATAAATTGTGCAGCAATCATTAATAAAATCATTCACTTTTACCTAATATTTGGGGTACAGTTCACTTGTGGCAGTTTGTGGCACCAGCACTGCAGCCCAGGTGGCATGTTCAGTTTAATGAACTGTTTTGTTGGACTCAGAGCTCAATATCTCATCTGATAAACACTCTGCAAGTGTTTGTCCATGGGCCAGGTCTGTGGGTATCCTACAGGTCCACACAGGTAACACACAGCCATGGAAACTCACGCAACACTTCGTGGCTTTAAGCTCCCAAGCTCCATAAAGAAGCCCACCCTGGTATTTTAGGCATCCATCAGATTTCCCTATGAACCAGTTCATATAAGCAACATAAAGCTGCGTTTCGTCAATACACAGTATTGTACTTGACAATACAAACTATTTTAATATGATGGAATGCTTTCCAATATAATCTGGTGTACATTAAGATAAGGCAATCCAATGCAAACCTACAGGAAACAGTTCTCAAAGAATAACAATCCAGTGTTGTGCAAAAGGAGATGTAATTGCTGTCGCCTAGAAATGTACCCAGCTTTGCCCTCAGGCTGCAGTGGAGCAGCAGCATCCAAAGTAGCAGTAACAGCAGGTTGTGGTGTGAAAATTCCTGCTTTTTCCCCTGTGAGGAAGGATGAAAATAGTTCTGAAAATATACAGCAAAGCTACTGCAATTTTTTTAAATGGGGTCCTGGTTATTATTGCCATTTCCCAGCCCATACTATGGCTGCAGTGATTTCTGTCCCCAGCAGAAGATTTTTAAACGTGGTATAGATAATAATGTATAGCTTTAGGGGAAAAGAGCTGTGTTAATATAATGACACCCCAATATTTCATCATAGAAGGCTGGTGATTAAAAAATAATAATAAATCAGTGCTGTAATGAGAGCTCTGCCCATCACAAAACACATTTTTATCACTACTCATCTCCTGGAGTTAATCTGAAATTCCATCCGTATTCCATGTGCAAACACACACATAGTCCTTTTACACTGCAGTGTGAGCATCTATTCATTGTTCCTCATATTTCCCAAGGAAATCTTTCCACGGTCCTTCACCTCTGAGCCATAATGTGCAGGTTGACTGTGTAATACACAGGTTGATTTTATGAAGGAGGTGACATGTAAAAATAATATGTGGCACTGCAGAACCCCCTCACCTTCGTTATTTCTGTATATAAAGCCATCAACTCGTGTGAAAACAGATTTCTAACCCAATTTGCAACTCCACTCCATACAAACCTTATTAAAGAAAATGCTGAGAGGATGCATATAAAACTAACACGGGAGGTCAAAGGTGTGTGAGCAGCCCCTGCTCCTCTACAACCACCTGAGGTCTAAACCTGCAGCCCGAACCCCAGACCCTCCCTGGAAGTGTCCAAGGCAAGATTGGATGGAGCTTGGAGCAATCTAGTGCTAGTGGTAGATTGATTCTGTGATAAACCAGATTTGACAAGGATGGTAGTAACAGCAAAAATAACCTCGAGCTGGCATCGTGTTGTCCCTCAGACATTTTGATAAAATTACAAATCTCACTTTTTCCACCAAATACCTTTCTCTCTTCTACAAATCCAAGAGTTGGTCTCTGCTTTTGATAGTGTGCATCCCACATGGTTTCCTGTGGTAGTTGGGTTGGTTCACACAGTTCATGTGATGACCTTCAGCTTCATGAGAAGGTGGAACAGGTGCCAGCAGCAGCTGAGGGTGGTGAAGTCTTCGCCTCAGTTTATACCGGGGCTGTGGTGGGTAGGGCTTACCTTTTGCAAGAGAAACTTCACAGGGTTTACTGCAGTTCACATTGATTGCAAGGTCTGTGGTCCTCAAAGGGAACCCATAAAGTTCAATTAAATATCTCATTAGACTGGTAGAGGAGGATCAAAAAGAAATCACAGAGGCTCATGGGAAATGGGGAGTGTTGGGCTGATTAGTCCAAGGCCATCCTAAATGACTGTTCTGTGCCTTAAATAAGACGTCTTCAGCGGTCTGTTAACAGCAGGCAGAGCTGCCTACGTTGGGTTTGTATCCTCTCTAATTGTGTCATTGCTTAGGCTCAACCCCAGCTAAGGGCACAACTTGATGCTGCTATCGATCTATCCTAAATCAAGGATATAATATCAATCTGTCCTAAGTCAAGGATGTTATCCAGCCAAAATGTTTTGAACACCAGAGATTGGTAGGAGCATCTATGAGAAGATTATGAAGTTTGGGTCTGACATGTTGCAGACACATAGAACTAGTTGTATGGTCATTCATAGAATCACAGAATATCCTGAGTTGGAGGAACCCACAAGGACCATCCAGTCCAACCCCTGTTCCTGTACGGGACACCCCAACAATCCCACCCTGTCCCTGAGAGCGCTGTCCAAACAGTCCTTGAGCTCTGACAGCCTTGGGGCTGTGACCACTGCCCTGGGAAACCTGTTCAGTGCCCAACCACCTTCTGGGGGAAGAACCTTTCCCTAATATCTTTCATTCCTGATATCTTTCATTCCTAGTATCTTTGGTTCCTTTGGTGGCTGGTGATAACCTGGGACCCATGTTGGGACACGTCACAGGATTTTCTTTTGGGAAAGAGCAGGAAAAAAAGCAGGGGGTTGGAACTAGATGGTCTTTAAGGTCCCTTCCAATACAAACCAGTCTGGGATTCCATGACTTGAGCAAACCACGGGATTCTTTTTTGCTGAGTGTGGCTCTTGCTGTGGTGTGACAACGTGATGTGACTCCTGGGGATGGTCCTGTGCAGGGCTAAAAGTTGGACTCCGTGATCCTTGTGGGTCCCTTCCAACCCAGCATATTCTGTGATTCTGTGATATCCCATCTGTTTCCATTGTGGCCTGGCTGATCCAGGTTTGACAAGCCGGGAAGTTTCAGGAGGTCTCCATCCCAGCAGCCATGTGATGGGATGGTTCCCTTGCCTCAAACTGAACACTCATAACAACTAGAGCCCCGCTCTGCTCCATCCTCACACAGAATTTGCTAAATGCAGTTCAGAGCCAATCGATCCCATGTGCAGGGAGAGTTTTTTCCCTGCCTTTTTCCTAAACAAACGCATTATCCAGGAGTTAGTTTATTCACAGATTGCCACGAGCGTTAATGACCGCCCCAGCCTTGTTCTGCCACTCACCCAGATGGCTGTTGATAAAGATTTAGCATCATGTTCCAAGTGTCAGGGCTGTCAGTAGTGCTGAACCATTTGACCAGAAGAAAAAACGCACAGGGAGCTATTGATTACAGCTTCTCAGTGTCACTTGTTCACCAGGATTTAGGTATTGATGAGGCTGCGAGTGAAAACAAGCTCTTTCCCTTGTGGGCCTCTACCCAGAAGAACAAAAGCAAAGTTGGAGAAAATATTCAGCTGGTGCCCGAATCAGAGGGACTCCGGCATCGATCCGAGGGCTCCTTCATGTTAGTTTTTGTTGGAGACAAATCTATGGGTTTGGAAGTTTTATAGCGTTCGAGGGAGGGTCTGTGTGCGTGATGGATTCGTGGATTAGATGAATTAGATTTCACAGCATGGAGATTTTAGCAGAGCTCTAATATTATGAGCTGCTTGGTTATTGATAAAAATTACATTAAATGTAGCTGAGGCATTAAAGCTCCAGACTAGGGTAGTTCTCCCTCTAAAATGTCCTTAGGGCCCTAATAAATTTTGGCAGGTTTAATTATTTTAGTGGTCTGAACGTTGTCACCACAATTAAGCCAAACTGAAGCAATATTCAATATTTTTAAATTACAGCCTTTGTACCACTTTTACATCCAAAGCTCTGGAGGGTGACAGATGGGTGTTTGTGTGTGTTGGGACAATCTAGTGTGGAATTCCTTATGTTGGGCATGGAAAAAGCTGCATTTATTTCATACCTCCTCTCCTTGCTTGGTGGTGAGTGGCTCAGCCCCATATCCCTGTGTAGTGAATGGGTCCTGCACCCACCCAGGAATCGTCCAATACCACCTGAAAATAAAGTCCTTTTTCTTCTCCACCAAGATTTATAGCCTTACCATCAAAATCTGCTGCTTTAGTGTGTGTATTTTAAAGAATTGCAAATTAACCTTGGAGATGTTTTACAGTGTGTTATTATGGCTTCGTCACCCAAGCCAAGCTGGCTGAAGTAACTGAGGGGAATATAAAGACAGAGAAATCCCAAACTAGAAAAAAAACTTGCACAATAAATCCTAATTTCTTTAAAGAAGCCATAAACCAAGTGTGGGATGGCATGGCATGGAGTAATGCTTTTATTGGTAATTGCTGGAGTTATCATGGATGCATAATTCACTTGTGGCATTGCACCTCCAAATAAAGCAGATATTAGAAGCATTTCTTTATTTAAACCTTGATTAACAATAAGCACCTGTGTGTATTCCCATTTAATGTAGGCTGAGACTGAGATTTTAAATTTCAGGCGTTGAAATTACTTAGCAAAACTGAAAGAACACCCAAAAATCCCCAATTTATGGTATGTATAGTTTTTCAGCTGCCAGGGTTTGTGTGTCCCAGCTTGAACTGTGCTGAAATAATGATTAAATGAGATTAAAATAAGTCAGTGTAAAGTGTGTAATTTGTGTGAAATAAATTACGCTTTTTTGACATAAAATATCCAAATTTTTGAAAACTGCCCTTTTGAGTGAGTTATTGTTGTCACAGCCACATCATTGCAATCCCATTGCTATGCAGTTACCAAAACACACCCGGCATGATTAGAGATGATGTATTGCATTTTTTATGGTGTGTACTTCAGCTATGATAATCACCTGTAATAAAAAATAAAAAAAAAAAAAAAAAGCATGTTTATGTACTTCTCTGCATTATCAGTCCATTATGTAACTTCTGGCATTGATTTGCAGAATCTGTGACATTTGGCTATAAATGATACAGAGTAGAAGACAGGAGGGGAAAAAAAGTTCTTGAAATTGGTTAGGTTGGAATGAAATCTCTCCTGTTGGAGGTTTTAAAAATTCACAACCCATTTTGGATTGACTTGCTGTTAAATAATAAATAGTGCCTTGGTCTCGCAGAGAATTTCTCCATGGTGCGCGTGGAGGTGCTTCAGCGAGAGGAGGATCTGCTGGGGAAGTGGAGCACAGGGACCACTTCTCAGTGGTCTGTTTTTTCCCAGAAATATGTCCTCTCCTAATCTTGGGATGATCATAGAATTTCAGACTGGTTTGGGTTGGAAGAGACCTTGAGGCTCATCCAGTTCCACCCCCTGGGCAGGGACACCTTCCACTGTCCCAGGTTGCTCCAAGCCCCATCCAACCTGGGCACTTCCAGCAATGAGGCAGCCACAGTTTCTCTGGGCAACCTGTGCCAGGTCTTCCCCACCTCATAGGGTAGAATTCCTTCTCAATATCCAATCTAAATCGACCCTCCTTCAGCTTAAGGCCGTGGTGATGGTGATGAACAGTTTGTCCTATACCTGCTTGTTCTCCCCGTGTACATCTCGGGGATATGAGGCTTCGTACCCCCCCCGAGCCCTGAGGGCTTGGCTGTGGAGGGGGCTGGCATGGGGCAAGAGAACCTGATGCTGCAGGGAATTTTTTATATATGGGATTTAATATCTCAGGTTTACCCTTTTAAAGACTTTACATCATTTTTATGGATTAACATTCCTGTCCATGCTTATTTTTGCCTAAGAACTGGGGAGGTCTCCGGAGGCAGTGATCAGCTCTGTTTGTGCTCCCCTGGGAGCACGGCCCCAAGGTTGTGGCTACTCTGTCCCCCTTGGGCATGGCCAGGACCCCACCAGTTTGTCACTCAGTGCTACAGAGCCCCTGGCTCAGTGCTGGATTTATAGACTCATGGAACCACAGGATCATTCCATTTGGAAAAGACCTTCAAGGTCATCTAGTCCAACCTGTGGCCAATCCCCACCAGGGCACTGAGTGCCTTGTCCCAGTGTTGTGGGTACCTCCCCCTTTACTCCTCCCCTGATTTCTGTGTGTTTTGCAGATTGCCCTCATAATCCCGTGCCACAGGGTGATCCGCAGCGGCGGGAAGATCGGCAACTACGGAGGGGGACGCCTCATGAAGGAGTGGCTTTTGTCACACGAGAAGCTCCAGAAGGAGAAGTTGGCATATTGATGCGGCTCCAGCTGCTAACCAGCCAAGACACACAACCACGGATCCTTGGCTTATAACAAGCTCTCAGAGCACCCAGCAGAATTCAGAAAAATGGTAAATATTTGAGTGACATATAAATATAATGCAACATCCAAAGTGAAATGTGTGGTGGCACCACTATATTAAAAAAGCGGGCTGCGTCCTGGGGGAGGCAGCTCGGCTGCCCTTTCTTGTTTTTACATTTTACAGCAGAATGACTACAGCGATCCAGGCCTGTTGTGCACGGATTTTGTTCCCATCTCCAGTCCTGTTTTGTTCTATTTTTAATGTCCATTAAAGCAGGGATAAGGGAGTGGGAGGGACGTGGCAAATGTGAGGTTCAGGCTTCCCCCTAAGGAAGCGTCTGCCTTGTGGAGGGCCCTGCCAACTCCTGCCCAGCTCCCCCTCCCCACTTTGGGGCATAAAATGGTGTTTTACCTAAACAGGAGTTAACAGAGCACAGTGAGGTCTATTCAAAAGCAGGCAGCTATTGAATTCCTTGTTCCTGGCTTTTCTTTTCAAACTGGGAGATGGGAATAATTTTTATTTTTTTTTGCATAAAGCAGCAGAAGAGATGCTACTGAAAAATCGTATATTTTGGATAAGCAGCTCGATTAGTCCAATAAGGCAAAATATTAAAAAGCTCATCATAGTTGCACCATTAGCAGCAGCAAATTCCTTTAGAGTTTGATGTTTTCCCTTCCATATTTCTCTGTTATCCGAAGCTTTATTTCCTACCTCTCCATAGGAAGGATTCAAGAGACATTAAAGCTAAATTTTGAGGTGGTTTTAGCAGGGTTCTCTGTGAGTAGAAGCCACCAGAAGCTGAAATTTCCAGTATGGGAGTCGTAAATTGTAACATGGAAATACTGATTTTTTTATGTGTTTTATCATATTTTCATGGATGTCTCTTTAGAAAGGCCATTGCTACCCCCAAAAAATTATTGTGTCGTGATGTGTTAGTTAATCCAGCATTATTGATACCTTGGAATTACTTCAATAAAAAAACTGCTTTGCATGTGCAAGTGTCTTTGGGTCTGTTTATAAATAAAACACAGGGTGTGATATATGGGGAAAATAAACTATACCCCACTGTACAATATAAAGCTGTATTTTTATCAAGGGTTTCTCGTGGCGATATAAACCACGGAAGCAAAGCTCAAGTGGTTTGTACGTGTCACCAGAACCCCGAGATAAAAATATGGCCTTATAATATGTACAGTTTGGGTGTATTTTATTATTTTTTTATATCTCTAATACATGCTGCCACCAAAAGCAGGCGGCAGCAAATGTCAACTTTAACCTTTCCCACGTATGCATCCCTTGATTTTTTTTTTCTGGTATTGGTGCTTTTTCAAGGATGTGACTTTGTTTTTTTGGGGATAGGGGCAGTGTGCACTGGGTTTGGGGCAGTTAACACCTTTTCCCAGGGAAACACCCAACTTTGGGAGTAAAATCATGTTCTGGGTCAGAGATTTGGGGGGTGGAGGCAGC